TGTCTCCCTGGGAAGTAAGTTGAAGAGGGGAGGATGATGAGGAAGGTTCATATTTGTCCATCATACACTTCTGTAGGTACTGCTGATATTTTTACGCTAAGCATAGATTCTTTATATAATGAAGACAGAGAATCTGTGCATTGAGTCACTGAGAAGGAAGGTTGTAGGGAGGAGATGATGGGTCATGGTATAAGGAAACTGATATGGACTAAAGCCTTATCGGTGCCATATAAGTTTTATTTGTTTATAGATCCTTAGTCATGAGTGTTAGATGTGAAAAACAAGAAGTACAAGGCAATAACAATGGAGACTGAGCTTGTATAAAAAGTTCTATGTACTTCTCCCTAAATGGCTTGAATATTCATCTCATCTTTTGGGAATGTGGAATAGAATTGTAAAGATGCTTGAGGTTAGAGCTAAATCACTATTCATCGTATCTTTGCTGCTCCGCAAATGAAAGGCGCTTGACATGAAAGGCCATTTAGTGGCTAGAGCCAAGAATGGAGACCCAGAGCTCCCAGTGCTGGTTCCTGGCAGCCACTTTTGGCTGAGTGAACATGAGCCACTGAGGCTGTGCCCCACTATGTCCATCCGCAGGGGGAAATGACAGCCGTGTCTTACTGCCTGCTGAAGGCATGATTGTTTGGAAACAATTTGAGATCCGTACCAGAAAGACAATTTAATAGAAAGTATTTTAGTCAAAAACGTTGTTGTGTAGAAGCCAGTCTTGACTTTTTAGGAGAAAAACCGTTTGCCTTGGGTGTGCATTGATTCAGGTGCTGTCCTGTGCTGAATCTTTGTATTGAATTGTTTTTTATCCACAAAACTGGATTTTATATACTTAGTACAATTGGGAGCTGTGTAACACAGGTAATTGTCAGTTTACGTTTTTCACATGCAGGCCTTAAAAGTAAATCCTTGTGCTCATCTGATTCTCTGCTAAATCACCAAACTGCTGGAATACTTCAGTAAGATCCTGTCCCCATTCTGCTCCCCTTCTCACTACTGTGAACAGCTTCCCCTGTTTTCCCAAGTTCCTTCTCTCTTCTTCCCCCTCCATGACGTGTTACTCTGTTTCCCCTGGGTGATGTGTTTCTCTCCTGCTTCCTCTGCCAGTTTCTCATGACTGGGAGGTGATTTTCGAGTTTTCTGGCTATTTCCCAGGCCACATCAGTGGTAGAGGCAGGTGTGACGGCAAAGGTGCAAAGGGCAGGTGATATTATCTTAAGTCTAAGCACAGGGTGAGAAGTCTTGCCCCCGACCTCAGGTTCACCCTTTTGGCATTGGTCCTGACACTATCTGGGACCCCATGTGACCCTGCTGGGAGCCTGGTGTGGTCCTAGAAGGAGCCCATCAAGTAGCCCTTCTTGACTTCTGTTCCGGGCCCGGCTCAGCATGAATGGTAAAAATAGGACCTGATGGCAAAAGTGTTCACTCATTTTTGAAATATGTATTTCAGATTGCTTCTCTCTCCCTGTGGTCTGAAGGGTTTGCCTCTCGTAGATCAGTTTGGCACGGTAGCACTAAGCCAAAGTAGCACAATTAGCAATTTTATCATCAGCAAAACCAGAGAAGCAGCAGGAAAACCTCTTCAGGAACCGTGCTTTGATGCCGTGTGGGGGATTGGTGTTGGTGTCAGTTGTTAGTTTGAGGTTGGTAAAGAGCAGGTACCATTCGAGTTGGCAGGAACCAGCTTTGGTGCAATTCTTTGCCGCGTGTATGAACCCCTACGTGAAGCTGGACAGCAGACGCTGGGAAGCCTTGGCCCCAGACACAGCCCAGTGCAACCAACCGAGGGGTCACACAAGCGGCTCTCAGCTTTGGGTGCAGGCGCAGAGCCTGCGTTGGATGGGGCCTGCTGGGTGTCAGTGCAGCCACGTGGCAGGGCCAAGTCCATAGCCCTCCAATGTAGTCAGGGGGGTGGGAGCCGAGCAGTTAAGTGTCTGTCCTCCCCCAGTGACCTTCGCTATCACTGAGCTAGGTGATTCTGGATTTTTGTTTTTAATACTTATATACATTAATTCTGACTATATATAGTATTAACTACCTATTCTATTAATACAACCTCTTACAATTATAAAAAAAAATTTTTTTTCTTGTGAGACAGTATCTTGCTCTGTTGCCCAGGCTGGAGTGCAGTGGCGTGCTCTCGGCTCACTGCAACTCCGCCCCCTGGGTTCACGCCATTCTCCTGCCTCAGCCTCCTGAGTAGCTGGGACTACAGGTGCCTGCCACCATGCCCAGTTAATTTTTTTGTATTTTTAGTAGAGACGGGGTTTCACCGTGTTAGCCAGGATGGTCTTGATCTCCTGACCTCGTGATCCACCCACCTCGGCCTCCCAAAGTGCTGGGATTACAGGTGTGACCCACCGCGCCCAGCCCAAATGTTTAATAGTATGTTTTTCTGTGTGTGTGTGTGTGTTTTTGTTTTGTTTTGTTTTGTTTTGTTGAGGCAGGATCTCATTCTGTTGCCCAGGCTGGAGTTCAATGGCGCTATCATAGCTCACTGCAGCCTCAAACTCCAGGGCTCAATAAATCCTCCCATCTCAGCCTCCCAAGTAGTTGGGACTACAGGCATGCACCACTACTCCCAGCTAATCTTTTTATTTTTATTTTGTAGAGACAGGGTGTCACTATGTTGCTCAGGATGGTCTTGAACTCCTGGCTTCAAGTGATCTTCTCACCTCAGCCTCCCAAAGTGCTGGGATTACAGGCATGAGGCACCCTGCCCAGCCTAATAGTACTTCAGTTGAGTAACTTTGTGCTGCTTTGTATGTATAAAATGGTTAACAATATAACAAAGACTGCAAATGTATTTAAGAGCAAAGTGTTAAATAGTTAACCCCTTTGAATTAAATTTTTTAACAAGTTACAAAAGTGACATTCTTATTGTATATATATTTTTATTTCTTTTTCTTTTTTATATTTTGTTTTTTACTTTTTTTTAGTAAAGTCTCGCAGATCCTTATCTTGTTGTATATATTTTTTAAGTTACCACTCTAAAAGTATATGTAATAAAAAGTGAAATTTCCACTGCAGTCTCCCATCTCTCCATAAAGAAATTGGAAACCACTGTATCTTCCCAGAACTTTTTCTGTAAATTCACAGATATGGCAGGAATGTGGAAAGGTGGATGTTTTATTTTTCAAACATAAATTGCATGATGCTATGTGTATATCATACAACTAGCCTGCATTACTCATTGGATCTTGGGCCTCTTTCCTTATCAGTACATATAGACTTAGCGAATTCTTAAGACTGTCTACAGTAATTATTTCACATTTTCATAATGGTGCATATATTAGTTGTTCTGCAAATTCTTGCTATTACAAGTAATGCTGTGGTGAGTATTCTTGCACATCTTCCAGTGAGTTTATGTACGAGCATGAGTGTTTAAGTTGTGCATATATGTGTGTGAATATGCCTATTGTCACCATTGACAGCAGATGGACAAAATTCAGGGTGATGAGTGCTGGAGATATGACAGTGCTATGAAAAGATGACGTTTTCATACCATGTGCACGTCCACCCTTGGATTGACTAATGTTATTATTGCTAAGTGTGCATTATGGGATTTGAGTGAAGTTTTTCTGCACTGTAATTCCATAAGTTGATGCTTCAAAGAAGAGTTAAATTTGAGTTTAATGTCCTTTTAAAAAACTCTTATTCCTTGGGCCAGGTGGCTCACGCCTGTAATCCCAGGTCTTTGGGAGGCCAAAGCAGGAACATCCCATGAGGCTAGGAGTTTGAGACCAGCCTGGGCAACATCGCAAGACCTTGTCTCTTAAAAATAAAAATAAACAAACCACAACAAAAATCCTTTTATTTCTCAACTGATTTCAAAAAGTTCTGTGTATGTGGCTAGGGCGCATGTCTGTTTAAAGTAGGGCTGCTGGCTACTGAGGAACTAGGAGAGGCCTCAGTTGTGGGAGCCAGGCAGTGTCCAGACAGCAGCTTCCTACCGCAGGTGGGCTGGGCTGGGGTGGGCATCAGGATGGAAGACAGCTGACTCCTTTCTTTTTTCTTCTTTCTTTTTTTTGAGACAGAGTTTTACTCTTGTTGCCCAGACTAGAGTGCAATGGCACGATCTCGGTTCACTGCAACCTCCGCCTCACAGGTTCAAGCGATTTTCCTTCCTCAGCCTCCTGAGTAGCTGTGATTACAGGCACCTGTCACTGCACCCGGCTAATTTTTCAAATTTTTAGTAGAGATGGGGTTTCACCGTGTTGGTCAGGCTGGTCTCGAACTCCTGACCTCAGGTGATCCACCTACCACAGCCTTCCAGAGTGCTGGGATTACAGGTGTGAGCCATCATGCCCGACCTCAGCTGACTCCCCTCTCAGCCGCATTTGTGCGTGCAGCCATTTAGATATCGAAATAATATGTAAATGGATTTCATCCCAACTTAAATATGCTGTTTGTGCCCAGTTGTTAAAATTTTTTTTATTTATTTATTTATTTTTATTTTATTTATTTATTTGTTTTGAGATGGAGTCTCACTCCGTTGCCCAGGCTAGAGTGCAGTGGTGCAATCTTGGCTCACAGCAACCTCCCCCTCCTGGGTTCAAACGATTCTTCTGCCTCAGCCTCCCAAGTAGCTGGGATTACAGGCATGTGCCATCATGCCCAGCTAATTTTTGAATTTTTGTAGAGACAGGGTTTTACCATATTGGCCAGGCTGATCTCGAACTCCTGACCTCAGGTGATCCTCCCACTTTGGCCTCCCAAAGTGCTGGGATTACAGCACCCAGCCCCCAGTTGGTAAAATTTTAATAATTAGCTTACTAACTAGTTTAAGCACATATTCGCAAGATATAGGATGTCTTCAACATACAGCTTTCTACTCCAAAAAGTACAGCATGTTTTTTTGGTTGAGAGTTTTGTTTACTACAAAATCCAGGTGATTCATTCTCGATTTGGGGAGTGGGAAGTCCACTGCCCTGAGGCCTAACCTTGTAGAAGTTTCCCGTAATGACACTGCTTCTCATTTTCCTTCCCAGTGCTCGGCCTGGTTCTCCCCATGTGGGCCATAGCCCTCATTTCCTTTGGTGTCGCCCTCCTGTTCGCTTTCTTTGTGTGGCTCTTCGTATGTCCATGGATGCGGAGGAAAATAACAGGTATGGGCTTTTTGATTCTTCTGATTTACAGAAATTCTCCTGATTTCCAAAACCTCACATGTAATACGCCATGATCCTTACTAATGGAAGAAGAGGAAGTGTGGGTGACTCCAGAACATACCCCATCCTCTGTCACTCGGTTCCTGAGTGCTTTCTGGCTCAGACATTTTCTTGATAAGTTGTAACCCAGGTGGGCAGTAAGGTCCCAGTTGCCATGAGTAACTGAAAGTTAACCGTGCAGTCCAGTTCTGCCAGCCTGTGGAAAAACGTTAGCCTTCATAGAAATGCAAATTAACACCACAAGGAGATTTTGTTTCCCACCCACATGAATGGCTAAGGGTAAAAAGTTCTCGCCATTTCATATGTAGGTGAAGAAGTGAAATAATTGGAACTCTCCCAGGTTTATGCTGAAATGTAAAATGGTGCAATCACTTTGGAAGTTAGGTTTGCAGTTTCTTTATAAAGTTAACCTTACATTTACCATGTGGGCCAGTAATTTCACTCCTAGCTATTTATCCAAAGAAATGAAAACATGTGTTCATAAAAAAACTTGTACACAAATCTTTTCGTCATAAAAGCCCAAAGTGGAAACAACCCATGTGTTGGTCAGCAGGCAAATGGGTAACCAAATTGAGTAAATTCATGGGATGGACGACCACGCAGCAATAGAGAGAATGAACTGCTGGGGACCCTACAGCGGAAGGCATCCCACAGCCGTGATACCGAGCAGAAGCCCATGATCCAGAAGAGTAGCTATTCTGCATGCTGGCATTTTTCATAGCATTTCCATAAATTTTCATTTAAAAGTTTTATGGATCTTTCCATTAAATTTAAGAATAGGGAAAATTTTTCTGTAGCAACAGAAAGCACTGATCGCCTGGGATGGGTGGGGGTTGGAAAAGGCAGCTCGGGAACTTATCAGGGACATAAAATGTCTTTGTTTTCATCGGGGAAGGGGCTTTAGGGTGTGCCCACTTGCAGCAGGTCATCACCTGGGTGCTTAAACTGTATGCAATTTTGACTGGGCATGGAGGCTTACACCTATAATCCCAGCACTTTGGGAGGCCAAGTTGGGTGGATCACCTGAGGTCAGGAGTTCGAGACCAGCCTGACCAACAAGATAAATAAATCCCTGTCTCTACTGAAAATACAAAAATTAGCCGGGCTCTGGTGGCAGGTGCCTGTAGTCCCAGCTACGCAGGAGGCTGAAACAGGAGAATTGCTTGAACCAGGAGGCGGAGGTTGCAGTGAGCCACTGCACTCCAGCCTGGGCGACACAGCGTGACTCCATCTCAAAAATATATATATATGCATTGTATTATATTTATATATAAAACCTATAACAATAATTGTATTATTATAGTACTGTAATAATTATACTGTGGAATAATATAATCATTATACTATATAATAACTATAGTATAATATATAATATAGTACTCTACTGTATAGTACTATAATAATTGTATTATTATAGTTATAGTAATTATAACATATATATAATAAAACGAAACAATAAAAATAAAACACATGTTATTAAAAGGAAAGAAAGTTTTTAAGAAGTGGAAGAATATGGCTTAGGAAGTCAGTCAGGGCTGTTTTCCTATTCCCAATTCCCCATATTTGAATTTCAAGCCTTGAAGCCACATGCTTTTTACAGAGCTCTCAAAAAACAAGTATTTACATTTGGTCTCAGCATGTACCATAGGGTCACATTTCAGTATGGATATATCTGCATTTGGAGATTCACATTTCGAAGAAGACCAAAATACATGAGACAAAGCATGCTTCTGAATTGGAAGACAGTATAGTAGAGATGCCAGTTCTTCTCAGATTCATCTCTAGACTTCAGACGATTTCAATAGAAATCCCAGCAGGATATTTTGTAGATTTAGACAAGCCACTTTTAAAGTTCATGTAGTAAGTCAAAGAAACTAGATGAGCTGGAACAATTTTGGAAAAGAAAAAAGTTGGAGGATTCATATTAACCTGACTTCAATACTTGTTATGAAGGCACAAAGCAGTGTGGAATTCGGGAAGAGAGAAACACATAGATGAATGGAACAAGAATAGAGTCTAGAAATAGACCCACGCTAATGTGGCCAGTGGGTTTTAGACAAGGGCACAGAAACAGTTCACTGGAGAAAGGACAGTCTTTTCAACAAATGGTTTTGGAGCACTTGACATCCATATGCCAAAATAAGAACCTTAACGTAAACCTTATTTTAAAAATTAGCTTAAAGTGCATCATAGATCTAAATACAAAATTTAAAAAAAAACAAGACTTTTAGGGAAAAAAAATATAAGGGAAAACTTTGTGACCTTGGGTTAAGAAAAGAGTTTTTAGATATGACACCAAAAACATGTTCTATAAAAGAACAAGTTGGGCCAGGCACGGTGGCTCACGCCTGTAATCCCAGCACTTTGGGAGGCCAAGGCGGGCAGATCACCTGAGGTCAGGAGTTCAAGACCAGCCTGGCCAACATGGAGAAACCCTGTCTCTATTAAAAATACAAAATTAGCTGAGTGTGGTGGCTCATGCCTGTAATCCCAGTTACTCGGGAGGCTGAGGCAGGAGAATTGCTTGAACCCGGGAGGCAGAGGTTACAGTGAGGCGAGATCATGCCATTGCACTCCACCCTGGGCAACAAGAGCGAAACTCCGTCTCAAAAAAAAAAAAGGGAAAAAAGGACAAATTAATAAATTGTACATCATCAAAATTTGAAATTATTGGTCTGTGAGAAGCACTGTGAATAGAATGGGAGAAAATGTTTGCAAATCCCATACCTACAAAGGACTTGCATTCAAAAAATAAAAAGAAATTTTAGAAAACAAATAACTCAATTAAAAAATGAGCAAAATAGGCCCGGCACAGTGGCACACACCTGTAATCCCAGCACTTTGGGAGGCTGAGGCAGGCGGATCACAAAGTCAGGAGATCGAGACCATCTTGGCCAACATGGTGAAACCCCGTCTCTACTAAAAATACAAAAATTAGCTGGGCGTGGTGGTGCATGCCTGTAATCCCAGCTATCAGTGAGACTGGAGCCCAGGCAGAATTGCTTGAACCAGGAAGCAAGGCTTGCAGTGATCCTAATCAACGGCCACCACGCACTCCCAGCCCGGGACAGAGCACCGACCCTGTCTCAAAAAAAAAAAAGCAAATAGCGGCTGATGGGCTCATGCTGCAATCCAACCTTTTGGGAAGCCGCACGCAGGCACATCACAAGGTCAGATTGAGACAAGCTGGCCCACACTGCGCCTGACAACTCACCTCTACTAAATCTACAAAACTTAATCTGAATGGTGGTCGGCGCCTCTAACCTAGGCTATCTCAGAGCTGAGGCAGGGCGAATCACTTGAACCTGGAGCGCGAGGTTGCAGTCGAGGCCAAGACATGCCAAGTGCACTCCCAGTGCACTCCAGCCTGGGCAAAAAGAGGGACAACCCATCTCAAAAAAAAAAAAAAAAAGCAAAATATTTGAATAGACATCCTTCACCCCACAAAAGAAGATACGCGATGGACCAGACAACGGGCTCACCGCGTCATCCCACGCCGCACCTCTTGGATGCCTTGAGTGCGTGTCGTTCAGTTCAGTTGAGGTCTATTTATATATTTTCAGACCATCCCCAACATGGGCTGAAACCCCGTCTCTACTAAAAATAACAAAAATATGCCGTGGTGGGTGGATGGGGCATGGTGCCTATAGTCCAGCTACTTCCGACGAGGCTGAGGCAGGAGAATCGCTTTGAACCCGGGCAGGTCATTTACAGTGAGCCAAGATTACGCCCACTTACAGCGTCCAGCCTGGTGACAGAGCGAGACTTCCTGTTCTTCATTAAAAAAAGATAGATGGAAGCGCAGATGATCCCATGAACATAGTGCTCTCACATATCACTAGTTCACGGAAGTTTTGTACAAATGTTCACATCATAATTGCATTTTTACTACTATCCACCTTACTTTGCGAACTGCTTTTTTATTAAAATTACTGACAGTTAAAGGCCGGTCGGGTGCTCACCTGAAAATCCATGCACTTTTGGAGGGTCGGGCAGGGGCAAGATCACACAGGTCAGTGAAATCGAGACCATCCGGCTACGTGTGAAACCCCCGTCTGCTAACTAAAAATACAAAAAATTATCCGGGTGCGTGCGGTGCGGCAGCCTGAGTCCCGGCTACTGGGAGCCTGAGGCAGAGAAATGTGACCCGGGAATGATCTTCAGTGAGCCGAGACAAGATCCGAGAAAGAGAGAAAGAAGAAGAAGAAAAAGAAAGAAAAAAGGAGCAGAGAAAAAGAGAAAGAAAGAGAGAGAAGACGACAGTATAAATGCTGTCAATTTTACAAGAATGAAACAACTGGAACCGTGTACATTGTGTGAAATGCAAATGGTAAAGTCACAGGAAACTGTTGTCAACTTCTATATGGCTAAATACTTGCCATAAATATACTCTTAACCACTCCTAGATACTTCCCTAGAAAAAATGAAACTTAAATTCACACAGAAGTCTGCACATGAATGTTTAAGCACCTTATAATCATCCCAAAAACCCACATATTCACAGAATATAAGAAATTGTGGTCCTTTGATACATTGAATACTACTCACAATTAAAAGGAACACATTATTGAGCCACTTGTAGACAACATGATGGATTTCAAGGCATTATGCTCGAAAAGAAAAAGCCAGTCTAAAAAATCACATATTTTATTATTTATTTAGTGACTTTCTGAAAAAGGGAGTTTTTCAGAAATGAAGTTTCTTACTTCTGAGCGTTAAGAAACAGAAGTCCAGCTAGGTGCTATCAGATTTACAGAACATTGAGCACCTGGGAGGGACACTGTGGTAGATTGCAGCAGCTAACCCTTTTGTGTGTTTTGGATAGCTGATACCCATGGCCCTAAATATTCCATCTTTTCCTCATGCGAATATTTCTAGCTAGATTTCCAGTAAACTGAATTGAACTTTTACTTTCTTTTTCATATTCTTCTTTTTTTTTTTTCTTTTTTTTTTTTTTTTGACAGAGTCTCGCTCGTCCACCCCAGGCTGGAGTGCATGCACAATCCCTGGCTCACTGCAAACTCTGCCACCTGGGTTTAAGAGATTCACCTGCTCAGCCTCCCCAAGTAGCTGGAATTACAGGCGCCCGCCACATGCCTGATAATTTTTATATTTTATGAACAGGATGACCATATTGGCCAGGCTGGTCCCAAACTCTCGTCTGCTGACCTTGATCAACCTGCTTTTCGCTCCCAAAGTGCTGGATTACAAAAAGGTATGACCACCAATGATGTGTGACCTGTTCGAACTTCATTTTTTCTATCTAGCTAAACCTTTTTTTGTTTTTTCCAAGAATCAGTGGCTAAAGCATAAAGATACCAGATTCACTTTTTAATTTCATGTTTCATAATAGAATCCTCAAAGTTCCGGTATGACTTTGTTTTTTTAGCAAATTACAAAAAGAAGTCTTTATCACCGAGTATCTGACACAAGCCCTCATAAAGTTCAAGGAAGCAGCAGCTCCCCATATTTAAAGAGCTACCAAGGTGCCAAGCAATGACTGACGCCCCCATCACCGCTCACAGAGCACAGGAGACGTCGGACCAGTCAAACACCTCTGCAGCGCCAGCACCGGGCTGCATACGTACGTGCTTGCGACGCTTTGTCCGGCCAGCACGAGAGATTCCCTGGGAGGAAGCCTGCGCCTGGCTGTGGGCAATCTGTTTAAATGCGCACAAACGAGATCCCTCGGTTTTATAATTTAAAAACCCCAGAAGCTAGGAGGCTCAGAAACCATTTCCATACAGAGCAGGTTCCTGTCTTGATTTTCTCCAAGACTGGTTTATAAGTCGCCCCGGAGTCGCTGGGGCCATAACACTTGCTATGTCTGTCTGCAACCCACTCGCTACTTATGCAGATCTCCGTGCCCAGAGTTACCAAATTGCCTGAACCCATCGGTAACCCAGCTTCACTATGACACTGCAAAGAAAGCTCCCCCATTGTAACCAACAGAGGTGTCCACCAATCAAATCACAGAACCTTAGAAATCAGAACTGCGCTGGGGTGGTCGCGCTCACGCCGTAAATCATGGAACCCGAGTGCGATCATGCGTGCGTTCAAGACCAGCTCGAACAATTGTACAACTCACTTCACTTCCCACAACACCAAATTACAAAAATCCTGGGCATGGTGGTGGCGTACATCCTGCTACCGCGAGCTGCGGAGAAGGGCTTGAACCTGGAGGGCGGAGGTTCAGTGGCAATTGTGTTCGCCACCAGCTGGCAAAAAGAGTAGACGCCATCTCAAAAAGATAAAGAAAACGAAAAGAAAAGAAAACATCCAGACCATTCTGTGTCTTTAGACCTCAATGTTGTGCAGTACCAGGGAGCACAGCTTCACCAAAGCCAGCCCCGTGTTCCTGCACCTGCTGCCATAGTGCAGTCTCAATTTGCCCAATACGGCAAAATCATTTGCCTACTCATCCAGATACTCGCCTCTTGACAGTCATGACTGACCTTTTAAACGATCACCTAAACAAAATAACCGGGGAATATGGTGGCACACCCTTAGCTCCCACGATGCGGGGAAGCTGAGCGGAGAATCACTTGCAGTCCAAAGTTGGTGTCAACTAGATTGCACCACTGCACTCCCAGCCTGGTGACAGAGCTGAGAGCCGAGCTGTCTCTAAAACAAAAACAAACACGAATACCTGTGATAACAACTCTTACGATAGAGTGCGTTTGGCTCAAGTAATTAAGGTTTTTCTAAAGATTAGTTTCTTACATTCTCCTTGTGTGGTTTCAAAACAGAAAAACAAGGCCAGTGCCATAGTAATTTCTGGAAACACTTTTTAAGCAGAACTACAGATGCTTTGAAAAGTACCACATTATTAGCTTTTACCCTTTTATGTATGTTCACCTTTATTATTATTATTATTATTAGTATTATTTTATTATTAAGAGTATTGTTTAGTCGGTAACCATATCTACATGTCCTTTATGGGCCCAACATAGAAAAGAAAGGTATCATGCTAATAAGCATCCCGCAGCCTCCGGAGGATAAGTGCCATAAATAGTAAGGAGTGTTGGCCTTTGCTTTATATTGAAAGGCTGGGGTGGCCACGTTTCCTCACACCTGTATCCCAGCACTTTGGGAGCCAAGCGGCGGTCACAGGTTAGGAACCTTGAGACCATTCTCTAACAGTGAACCCGGTCTCACTAAAAAATACAAAAAAAGTATAGCTGGCATGTGTTCGCACTTTGTCCCCCTAACTCAGGAGGCCGAGAGGGAGAACAGCTGTGAACTGGACGGCAAGAGGTTGCAGTGAGCCCGAGATGGCGCCATGAACCCAGCCTGGAAGACAGACAGCGCGCGCCTCAACAAACTAAAAAAAAAAAAAAAAAAAAAGACTGGACAAATGAGACCGTCTCTAACCCTTTCAGGAAGGGCGTGTCCATGACCCATGGGCTCTGTGAAATCGCCCCGTCTCCAACGGCACCTTTGGCTTCGGACGGGCCATACCAGCGAGCCGACGGTGCATTGTGAGCCACATCCCGTGCACAAAAGACTCGGGGCTCTTACAAAGACCTGCTGCACAAAATCCACATCGACAGGGGCCCCGAGGAGAAGCCGGCCCAGGAAAGCAACTACAGGCTGCTGCGCCGTAACAACAGTTACACCTGCTACACCGCAGCCATCTGCGGGCTGCCAGTGCACCACACCTTCCGAGCTGCGGACTCATCGGCCCCAGAGGACAGCGAGAAGCTGGTGGGCGACACCGTGTCCTACTCCAAGAAGAGACTGCGCTACGACAGCTACTCGAGCTACTGCAACGCGGTGGCAGAGGCGGAGATCGAGGCGGAGGAGGGCGGCGTGGAGATGAAACTGGCGTCAGAGCTGGCCGATCCTGACCAGCCACGAGAGGACCCTGCGGAGGAGGAGAAGGAGGAGAAGGACGCGCCCGAGGTGCATCTTCTGTTCCATTTCCTGCAGGTCCTTACCGCCTGTTTCGGGTCGTTTGCTCACGGCGGCAATGACGTGAGGTGGGTGTGTTCATTCATTCAACAACGGTCCTTGAGGCTCCGCCAGGGGCCAGCGCTGTGCGGGTGCCGGGATCCAGCAGTGAACGGCACCGATGGAAGCCCCTGCCCGGGGTAGGGGTGCACAGGCGGTGGTGGAAAGATCCATAAGTCAGCATTGCGTGCAGGACAGCGAGAAGTGTTAACAGGAAAGTAAGGTAGGTAGACTCGGGGCAGGAGCTTCCGGGATGGCAATGCGACCTGGGCTGCCCAGGGAACGGTTGGCCGGTGACGGAGGTGCAGGGGCGGCCACATGGCGTTAGCAGGAAGGAGAACGGCAGGTGCAGTCTTGAGGCGAGCACAAGATGCCTGCCTCCAGGATGAGCTAGGAGGTCTCCGGTCTGCGGGTTGTGGATGCAGAGCGCGTGGCCCATGGACGTAGGAAGGAAGGTCTCACCTGGAGAGGGGAGCAGTGGAGATGTGATCAGGGGCCACACAGGGCACGTTTGACAGGGGCACTGGCTTTGGACAACGGCCTGGACACGGATGTGAGAGAAGAAGGAAAGAGGCAGCTGCCAAGACTGGAGCCGTGGCCTTGGCAAAGGCGAGAGTGGAGCTGCTGTCTGTTAGGGAGGACCGAGGCCCTGGATGCAGCCAGGGAGCGATGCTGCTGTTCAGGCTGAGCAGACAGCGGCCGTGTACACCTGAGTTCAGGACAGGCCAGGCTGGGTGCCGAGCAGGTAACATGGGTTACCTGGGTGAGAAGCACTGGGGCAGCGAGGCAGGCAGGCGGGAGGCGGAGTGCACGGACGGAGGAAACAGCAAGAAGGTGTGCCGAACCAGGATGCTAGAACTCCTAGGAAGTGATTTAATTTTAATTTTTTTTTTTCTTTTTTTAAGACAGAATCTCACTCTGTTCCCCAAGCTGGAATGCAGTGGCCTGATCTCGGCTCACTTCAACCTCCTCCTCCCAAGTTCAAGTGATTCTCCTGTCTCAGCCTTCCCAAGCAACTGGGATTGCAGACGCTCACCACCCGGCCCAGCTAATTTTTCTATTTCTAGTAGAGACGGGGTTTCCCACGTTGACCAGGCTGGTCTCAAACTCCTGACCTCGGCCAGGCGCGGTGGCTCACGCCTGTAATCCCAGCACTTTGGGAGGCCGAGGCAGGCGGATCACGAGGTCAGGAGATCGAGACCATCCTGGCTAACACAGTGAAACCCCGTCTCTACTAAAAATACAAAAAAATTAGCCGAGCATGGTGGCAGGCCCCTGTAGTCCCAGCTACTCGGGAGGCTGAGGCAGGAGAATGGTGTGAACCCAGGAGGCAGAGGTTGCAGTGAGCTGAGATCCGGCCACTGCACTCCAGCCTGGGCGACAAAGTTAGAGTCCATCTCAAACAACAACAACAACAACAAAAATCTCCTGACTTTAGGTGATCCACCCACCTCAGCCTTCCAAAGTGCTGGGATTACAGGTGTGAGCCACCGCGCCCAGCCATCCTTCAGTGACATCTTTAACCCAGTGAGAAGGCTCCACCCCTCTCGTGGGCTTTAGTTCTCCCCACTGCATGGTGCAGCCGCTGGAGCTGCCACCTGAGCCTGCAGGTCACCCCACATGGTAATGTCACAGGCATCCTGCAAATGAGTGTGTAGTGACAGGCGGATATGACCCTCCAACCTTGACCCCACCCGCCCCACCCGCCCCACCCCACACCCAGGCCTGGTGTGCAAGAAGCAGGGCGGCCTCCTGGGGCCCCAGAGCCCCAAGTTTGGGTCTCTGCTGTCGTCTTCCAGCTGTGTAACCCCTAGACAAGGCACTTGCTATTCCGAAGTCTCTGTTTCCCAATCTGTAAAATGCGGGAAAACGAGTCCCAACCTCCCAGGCTTCCCCTGTGTAACACGCTCAGGATGGTGCTCCCCACTCACTCGGTTTCCGTCCGTTTCTGCTTGTGCTGTCACTGTCATGGTCAGCCACTGACGGTTCAGGGGACTGTGCCGTTGTCATCTTCTGTTGCAGTCAGTGACTCCCCATGGGCTGCGCACAACGCCTCCCCACATGCAGCTGCGTCTCTGCTCTTTGCTGCAGACGAACCTGGGCATCTTATGTTCTGCTCAGCATCACGTGGGCGTTTCTGTGGTATTTTATTTGGTATTTTCTTGCAGACAGCATGCTCTGTCCTACGTTAGTAACTTTTTGTCTGCCCCACACCGTCCTGCTTCCTCCTCATCAAGCATTCTTGATGGAAGGCCTGGCACTGGCAGAGCACTAGAAACTGGGCCCCCATCCATTAGAAGTTTAAACACCAGTTAGGGAGATGAGAAAAACATATTCATGGAAAAATCACAACATACTCTCTCCCACTCACACACTCAGCTGCACACACACACGCACAGACACTCACACATGCACATTGACACATGCACTCACACACACACACACATGCACTCACACACACACACTCACACATGCACTCACACACACACACATGCACTCACACACACGCACCCTCACACATGCACTCACACACACACACACACATGCACTCACACATGCACTCACACATGCACCCTCACACATGCACTCACACACGCACACTCACACGTGCACTCACACACGCACACTCACACATGCACTCACACACGCACACTCACACATGGACTCATGCACATTCACACACACCATGTTTCATTTCAAAGGAAGCGTCTAGGCAGTGGCTGCTCGGGTAACTGTAGAATTCCGAGCAGTTGCTTGCAGTGTGGGGACTATTCTGGGGCTTTGGAGCAGGGAGGGTGTCTAGTGAAAGCACCATTCTAGAAGTCATCTGAGAAGAGGCGTCCATGCATTCGGCATGAGGTTGAGCTCCGAGGCCTCATCACTGAGCTGCCATGGCCTATCCCACCCCGTCTCTAACACCCCTCTGAGCCGGGGTGGGCATCTCTCAGAGATGGGATCTGATGCTCAGGGTCACGCAGCGAGACCAAAGCCAACTTGGAAGCCAGTTCCAGTGACTCAGTGACACCCAGTCTACACAGCTGGCTGGGGGAGGAGACAAGAGCCAGGGAAGCTGTTAAGAGCACCTCGGGGCCTGCATGGGCTCCAGGGGCCTGACAGACATAAGCAGTGAAAGGACTGGAGCCCATGCAGGAGGGCCTGAAGCAGCCTGGGCCGTGCCCACTCTGCCACCTCAGAGGTGGGATCCTGGCCTCGGTTTCCTTGTCAGTAAGACGGGAGCAACAGTGCCCGCTGTGCAGGGCAGCTATGAGAATGGATGCTTAGCAAAATGTTGCCACCCATAGTATGGGGCCTGACAGTCTGTCCCAAACTGGCAGCTAATGTTAGTACCAGCAGCGGGGGGTGGCAGAGAAAATAGAAATTTGAGGAAAAAAGGAAGAAAAAAATAACTTGTCTGTTGTGTTGTGAACTTGGTTGTTTAAAAAATTAATTTTGGCCAGGCGTGGTGGCTCATGCCTGTAATCCTAGCACTTTGGGAGGCCGAGGTGGGTGGATCACTTGAGGTCAGGAGTTCGAAACCAGCCAGGCCAATATGGTAAGTGAAACCCCATCTCTACTCAAAATACAAAAATTAGCTGGGTGTGGTGGTATGTGCCTGTTGTCCTAACTACTCGGGAAGCTGAGGCAGGAGAATCAATTGAACCCAGGAGGTGGAGGTTGCAGTAAGCCAAGATCGCACCACTGTACTCCAGCCTGGGAGACAGAGTGAGACTCGGTCTCAAAAAAAAAAAAAAAATCAATTAATTTAATAGACCGGGCACGATGGCTCACACCTATAATCTCAACACTTTTGGAGGCCGAGGTGGGCAGATCACCTGAGGTTGGGTGTTCAAGACCAGCCTAGACAACATGGTGAAACCCCACCTCTACTAAAAATACAAAAATTAGCTAGGCCTGGTGCTGGGCACTTGTGGTCCCAGCTACTCGGGAGGCTGAGGCACGAGAATCACTTGAACCCAGGAGGCAGAGGTTGCGGTGAGCTGAGATTGCGCCACTGTACTCCACCCTGGTGAGATTGCGCCACTGCACTCCAGCCTGGGCAACAGAGGGAGACTCTGTCTCAAAAATAATAATAAATTACACACCTATTAGGATGGCTACCACTTAAAAAAAAAAAAGTAACAAGTGTTGTGAAGGATGTAGAGAAATTGTAACCCTGTGCACTGTTAGTAGGGGTGTAAAATGGTGTAACCACTATGGAAAACAGGATGGAGGCTCCTCAAAAAATTAAACAGACCTCCCCTATGATCCAGCATTCCTGCTTCTGGGTATACATACAGAAGAATTGAAAGCAGAGTCTCAAAGAGATATTTGTACCCCATGTTCAAAGCACTGCCGTTTGTCGTAGGCAAGAGGGGAGAGCAACCCAGATGTCCACTGACAGCTGAATGGAAACAAAATCTGTCCGTGCATACAGTGGAATATTATTTAGCCTTAAAAAAGAAGGAAGTCCTGTCACCTGCTGTAACATGGATGAACCTGGAGGACATTAGGCTAAGTGAAATAAACCATCACAAAAAGATAAATACTACTCATGCCTGTAATCCCAGCACTTTGGGAGGCTGAGGGGCGGATCATGAGGTCAGGAGATCAAGACCATCCTGGCTAACATAGTGAAACCCCTTCTGTACTAAAAATACAAAAAATTAGCCAGGCGTGGTGGCACGTGCCTGTAGTCCCAGCTACTCAGGAGGCTGAGGCAGGAGACTTGCTTGAACGCGGGAGGTGGATGTTGCAGTGAGCCAAAATCACGTCGCTGCACTCCAGCCTGGGCGACCGAGCAAGACTCCGTCTCAAAAAAAAGATAAATATGATTCCACTTCTGTGAGCTGTCTACAGCAGTCAAATTCCTGGAACTAGAAAGTAGAATGGTGGTTGCCATTAGCTGCAGGGAGGGGCAGTGGGAATTTGTTTGAAGAGTACAGAGTTTCACATTTGCAAGATGAACAAGCTCTGGAGATCTGTTTCACAACAATGTAAATATACTTAACACTGCTGAACTATAAATAAGATTGATTACAATTGTAAATATTATGTTATGCTTTTTACCAAAATTTAAAAAAAAATCATTTTGACCATGAATAGATGATATAGATGAACCTCAAATACACCAAGATGAGCTATGCTCAAGACAAAAGTCACCATGTACGGGAATACCTGGGAGACACTGTGGGTTCCGTTCCAGACCACTGCAATAAAACAAGTTTCACAATACCCATGAAGTTTTTGGTGTCCCAGCACATAGAAAAGTTATGTTTCTGTAATGGTGTACCATAGTCTATTAAATGTGTCTAAAAAACAATGTATATACCTTAATTTGAAAATACTTTATTGCTAAAAAATAATGCTAGCAACCCTGTGAACATTCAGCAAATCATAATTTTGCTGATGGAGGGTCTGGGCCTTGATGTTGATGTCTGCTGACTCATCAGGGTGGTGGTGATTAAAGGTTGGGGTGGCTGTGGCCATTTCTTAAATTAAGACAGCCATGAAATTTGCTGCATCAATTAACTCTTCCTTTCACAAAAGATTTCTTTGTAGCATGCAATGCAATTTGATAGCATTTTACCCACTGTAGAATTTCTTTCAAAATTGGAGTCAGTCCCCTCACACCCAGCCTCTGCTCTGACAACTGGGTTTGTGGAATATTCTAAATCCTTTGTTGTCATCTCAACAATGTTCACAACATCTTCACCAGGAGTAGATTCCATCTCAAAAAGCTTTCTTTGCTCATCCATACCAAGCACCTCCTCATCTGTTCAAGTTTTGTCTTGAGATTGCAGCAGTTCAGTCACATCGCCAGACTCCACTTCTAGTTCTCTTGCTACCACCACATCTACAGTGGCTTCCTTCATTAAAGTTTTGAATCTCTCAAAGTCATATGTGAGAATCGGAATCACCTTCTTCCAAACTCCTGTTAATGTTGGTATTTTCACTTCCTCCCATGAATCGCAAATGTTCTATTGGCATCTAGAATGGGGAATTCTTCCAGAAGGTTTCAATGGTCTCCCTAGACCCATCAGAGTCTATCTATGGCAGCTCTAGCCCTACAAAGTGTATATCTTAAGTAAAATAAGACTTGAAAGTCAAATTGCTCCTTGATCCATGGGCTGCAGAACAGATGCTGTATTTGCAGACAGGAGAACAACATTCATCTCCTTGCATATCTCCATCAGAGCTCTCCGGTGACCAAGTGCATTGTCAATGAGCAGTAATATTTTGAAATATTAATTTTTTTTCTGAGCAGTAGGTCTCAACAGTGGGCTTAAAATATTCAGTAAACCATGCTGTAAACAGATGTGCTTTGTTGTTCCATTTCTAGAACACAGGCAGAGTAGATTTAGCATCATTCCTAAGAGCAATAGGATTTTTGGAATGGTAAGTGAACATTGGCTTCAACTAAAGTTACCAGCTGCATTAGCCTCTGAGAAGAGAGTCAGCCTGTCCTTTGAAGGCAGGCATTGCCTTCTCTCTGGCTATGGAAGTCCTAGCTGGCATCTTCTTCCAATAGAAGACTGTTTCTTCTACATTGAAAATTTATTGTTACTGTAACCACCTTCATCAATGATCTTAGCTGGATCTTCTGGAGAACTCGCTGCAGCTTCTCCATCAGCACTTGCTGCTTCACCTTGCACTTTTATGCTATAAAGATGGCTTCTTTCCTTAAACCTCCTGAAGCAACGTCTGCTAGCTTCCAGCTTTTCTTCAGCTTCCTGGCTTCTCTCAGCCTTCACAGAATTGAAGAGAACTAGGGCCTTGCTCTGGATTAGGCTTTGACTTAAGGGAATGTTGTGGCTGGTTAGATCTTCTATCCAGACCACTTAGACTGTCTCCATGTCAGCACTAGGGCTGTTTTGCTTTCTTATTATTCATGTGTTCATTGGAGTAGCACTTTAAATTTCCTTCCAGAAGCTTTCCCTTTGCATTCACAACTTGGCTTACTGGCCCAAGAGGCCTAGCTTTTGGCCTATCTCTGATTTTGATATGCCTTCCTCACTAAGCTTAATCATTTCTAGTTTTTGATTTAAACGGAGAGACATGCAACTCTTCCTTTCAGTTGAACACTTAGAGGCCACTGTAGGGTAATTTATTGGCTTAATTTCAATATAGCAATATCTCAGGAAATAGGCAGGAGGAGAGGGAGAGAGACAGGGGAGTGAGCGATCAGTGGAGCAGGGAGAACACACATAGCATTTATCAGTGAAGCTTACCGTCTCATATGGGAACAGTTCATGGCACCCCAAAACAATTATAATAGTAACATAAAAGATCACTGATCACAGATCACCATAACAGACATGATAATAATGAAAAGGTCAGGAATACCATGAGAATTACCAGAATGTGACACAGAGACATGACGTGAGCACATACCGCTGGAAAATCGCGTCAGTGGACTTGCTCGATGCAGGGGTGCCACAAACCTCAAATTCGTAAAAAAACGTCGTATCTGAAGGCCAGGTGCAGTGGCTCATGCCTGTAATCCCAACACTTTGGGAGGCCAAAGTGGGCAGATCACAAGGTCAGGGGTTCGAGACCAGCCTGGCCAACATGGCAAAACCCCATCTCTACTAAAAATACAAAAATTAGTCGGGTGTGGTGGCCCACAGCTGTAGTCTCAATTACTCAGGAGGCTGAGGCAGGAGAATCGCTTGAACCTGGGAGGCGGAGGTTGCAGTGAGCCAAGATCACACCACTGCACTCCAGCCTGGGCAACAGAGTAAGACTCCGTCTCAGAAAAAAAAAAAAAAAAAGAAAAGAAAAGAAAAAACATCATATCTGTGGAGTGTGATAAAGTGAATAAAATGAAGCACAATAAAACAAAGTCACCTGTATCATGTACAGTGCCGCTTGCATATATCGTTAATCTTTTCTCTTTTTATTTTTCCCAGTAATGCCATCGGTCCCCTGGTAGCTTTGTGGCTGATTTACAAACAAGGCGGGGTAATGCAAGAAGCAGCTACACCCGTCTGGCTGCTGTTTTATGGAGGAGTTGGAATCTGCACAGGCCTCTGGGTCTGGGGGAGAAGAGTGATCCAGACCATGGGGAAAGACCTCACTCCCATCACGCCGTCCAGGTAAGCCTGGGCTGGTGGACGGGAAGGGCAGGTCTTGTCGTCCGAGGCCTGGCTAGAGCTGCCTGGCTGTGTCTGAACAGCCTGCTCAGCACCGGCAGTCGGCAGCGAGTCACAGGGAGGAGGGGACAGTGGGCAAGAATGGCCTTACTTACCATGCCACCTATCCTTGCCCTCCCTCACTGTGTCCCGGCCCCCAGCCACAGGGTCCCTGAGATGAGGAGCGGGAAGGGCAGACAAGCAGGGGTAGCAGAGCAGAGCAGGCAGGGAGGAGAGAAGCAGCTCACCCTTAGCCAGCACGGGGGCCAGAGGCAGGTGGGCAGGGAGGGTACAGACTTAAGCAGGCCCCCAGGCTGGCCTTTCCTGAAAGTTCTCTGGCCACCCCAGCTCTCAGCAACCTCCCTGCTGGGGTTACTTTCCTCTTGCTCTGCCAGACAGCGAGGCGCCCCCTGTCATCATGGGTGAGCTCTGGAGGCTTTAAATGTGGTCTCTCAACTGCATAGCCTGTAGCTGCATCAGGGGTTAAAGGAACTTCCAGAACTTTCAGAACATGACCAAAATTTGGAGCCACCTGTGGTAGGAAATCTCTCTCTTTTTAAAACATACGGGAGGTTTCCTTTTCCTACAGGCTCTGGGAGTTTCAGGAAGTGATCCAAAGGCACCCAGGGTGGGGAGGACCGGAACCCAGGTTTCATCACGCAGCTCTGCCCTGCATCTGCAGAGAAACCTAAAATAGCTCCAGTGAGTCTCCTATATAAATTTCCAATTTTAAGTTCTCACTTGAAAATAATTTCAATAAAAGATATTTTAGAAGATTGATTTGAAGAAAAATTCGTAATCTGAGAAAAATACACTTTTGTAATAAGTGCACATTTTTTAAATGAGAGCATAGTTTTTCATTTGCGTTTTAGAAATGACTGATTTACTATCTTACTGCACAGCAGGAATGTCTGGCCCAGTGTGTGGTCTTTGAAACGTATCAGAAAGCCAGGCTTCTGGGGGCCGTGCACAGGAAAACGCAGCCTTGGTGGGGATCGCTGTTATTGAGCAGCGGCCTCTTGTTCTGTTAAAGTTGATCTTGCCCAGTCAGCAGTCGGCAGTCACCCCAGAGAATGTTCTGGCAAGCCTTTGTCACCCGCGGGGTGTCAGGGAGGCGATACAGAGGACGCCCGTGACGTGTCTCATGCTCCCCCCGCAGCGGCTTCACAATCGAGCTGGCCTCAGCTTTCACAGTGGTGATCGCCTCCAACATTGGGCTTCCAGTCAGCACTACGCACTGCAAGGTAGGCCCCTGCTAGCCGGGAGCCCTTCTCCAGGCCACTGGGATGGGTCAGGGCCACCGGAACACATGCGAGGGAAGCTGTAGGGCTCTGTAGATGGTTGTGCAAAACGCATCTCCAGGTTCTCTGGGTCTCTGGGACCTTGTTTTCCTCCATCTGCCCCCTCCACCATCCTCTCGGTAGGACAACACCATCCCTTGTTCAGACCTGGCTTTTCCAAGGCAGAATGAATGCTAGGGCTGGTCTGCCTGGGACTGTCCTGCTGCCCTCCCACTGCTTCCACGGTGAAGTTTGATTGGCATCCTGTGTGCGCTGAGCATATCTATGGGCTCACTTGGGAGCCTGCCACTTGGTCCAGCCATTGAGGGGACTGGGGGTTGACAGTGGAAATAGCAGTTAACAAAAATCATCTCTGTGGAATTGTAGGGCACGGTTGTTTCTGGTTTTGTTCCTTCTATGGTGTTCAAAGTGACTGTATTGCCATAAATTCCCCATGAGGGGTAATGACTGATACCGACCACTGAGGAGTGCTCTGAAACCTACAGCTGGACAAGAGAGGGCTCCTGGTCGTGATGTGGAAAGCTGGAGCTGCAGGGAGGAGCCCTGAAGACCAGTGAAGAGGAAATGGGCTCTGGGAGTTTCAGGGAGTGATCCATAGGTGGCCAGGGTGGGGAGGACCAGAACCTGGGTGGGGAGGACCAGAACCTGGGTTGGGAGGACCAGAGCCCGGGTCTCATCACCCCACTCTGCCCAGTATCTGCAGATACTTCTAAAATAGCTCCGGTGAGCCTCTGTATACAGACACACTCACCAGTCTCAACAAAGCGAAAGTCACTTCCGGATTTTTCCTAGGTTCATTCATTTGTATCATTCAAGAAAAACTAATTGGCGTTTGCTGCATGGGGGCAGAGTTCTCGGCACCAGAAGGAATATATGAGCCCTCATAACAGACACAGCCACCCATGTTTATATTTACTCACAATTTTAAGATTCCAGCCAATATGTTTAAAAGAAAACTCCAAGCAAAGGCAAGTGGCTTCATGCTTCAAACACCCAGGTCAGGTGGCCCTCACAAGAGTATCTGGAGTGGCCCAGCAGCATGTTTCCAAGCTGGGGCTCTGCGCATGCGGAATCAGCCTCAGTGGAAAGAGTTTGTTTTGTGTTTTCCTTTTTTGCTACCATATACAGAAATATTTCAATTTCCACAAAGTTTCTGTATAGAAATCCCCCTACTCACTGATTATCAGGAGAGTGCTGGTACTGTGCTCCACACCACACACGTGGTGCGCCGCCCCCTCTCCACAGCAAGCCTGTGGGGGCGGAACTGTCACTCCCAGTCCACAGGTGAGGAGACTGGGTTCCCTCAGAGCTGGGCCGCTTGCTATGTGCACACAGCCACATGTGGTAGATCCAGGATTCAGATCTTCGCCTCAGGCCACACACCTTCTCGTTCAGGTCCCCATCAGCACCATTGTGGTGCCCAACCATGGCCAAGGTGTCCGGGGCAAGCACTCCACTGGTGCCATGAACATGAGCTCCCTCAGTCTCCCCAAGAACCTTCCCCAGCTTCACAGATGAGGAAACTGAGGCAGAGGAAAGTTAAGTAACGTGCCCGAGATTACACAGCCAGGGAGCAGCCCAGCTGAGGCGCCCACGTGGACAGCATAGCCAGCGTCGTCCTCCCCCGCTCCGCCTGGCAAGCATGGGGGAGGAAGGCAGGAAGAGGTGCGGGTGCGCCCGCCGCCCATTCATTGTGATTTCCTAATGTGGGTTATTTAAAACTTACCAGAGAAGCACATATTCACTGAAATATTCCAAACAGTGCAACACTATAAGGAATGAAAAGTAACATCTTCCCCGGACTCCACGTTACTTCCATTCACTGTGGTGTGTGGAGCGTGGAAGAGACGCATGTAGCTAAATATATTCTTTTTCCAAGGACACGGGCTTGTGACTTTTCTATAGGCATCAGTTGTCTTTTGGAATGCTTTTAAACACATGTAATGCCATCTTTCTAATGATTAACCTACACTTAAGCAAGACTGCTGAAGGCTAACTCTTCCACACCAGTTGAAATAGCTTTTTTTTTTTTTTTTTGAGATGGAGTCTCACTCTGTCACCCAGGCTGGAGTGCAGTGGCATGATCTTGGCTGACTGCAAGCTCTGCCTCCTGGGTTCACGCCATTCTCCTGCCTCAGCCTCCCGAGTAGCTGGGACTCCAGGCGCCTGCCACCACGCCCGGCTAATTTTTTATATTTTTAGTAGAGATGGGTTTTCACCGTATTAGCCAGGATGGTCTCGATCTCCTGACCTCGTGATCCACCCGCCTTAGCCTCCCAAAGTGCTGGGATTATAGACATGAGCCACCATGCCCGGCCAGTTTTGTTTCCTTTGAGCTGGTGATGAGTAGTATTAGGATAGCTTGTTGGCACTTAAAGCAGGTCTCCCTGAATGGGACTGCAGTGGGGTGCCATCTGTAAAATAGACAAGACAGGTCACAACTTGGGTTTGAGTCAGTTTGTCCGATATCATTGATCATGGACTTCTGGACAAGGCCCAGAGCTATTCCCTGTGAGCACTAAGGACACAGCCTCAGCTCTCAGGAACTTGCAGTGTAGTTGGAGAGCAGATGGCTCTCATCAGAGTCCAAATAATAGAAGTGCTGAGAAGAGTTCACAGTTGTCATTACTCCACAACACTTATTCTCTCATATCACATATTTCCCCTGCACACAACAGTCCCCAAATGGCAAATGTGGGATGAACTATGAGAGCCGTGGGATGGCGTGAAGAATGGGGCCCTCTGTGAGTGAGGCTGTGAATCTGGAAACATTCAAAGGGTATTGATGTCCACATAGAGTCATAGTTGAATTGCATCAGTTTTCAGGATAATTATCCTGTGTTTGATTTTTAAGTTTCTTGCTTAGAGCCATCCAATAGAAGGTAGGGAAAAGTTGGGGACTTGGCAGGAAATAAGATGGAAACTATTGTTTAAAATGAGTTTTTGAATGTATCTAGGTACATGTTATTGATTTATGCTTCCTTCTAAGTATACATGGCTAAGTGCATAGATTTGTTTTATTTTGTTTTGTTTTGTTTGAGACAGAGTCTCGCTTTGACGCCCAGGCTGGAGTGCAGAGGCTTGATCTTGGCTCACTGCAACCTCTGCCTTCTGGGTTCAAGCAGTTCTCCTGCCTCAGCCTCCTGAGTAGCTGAGATTACAGGCATGCACCACCACACTTGGCTAATTTTTGTATTTTTAGTAGAAATGGGGTTTCTCCATGTTAGCCAGGCTGGTCTTGAACTCCTGACCTCAAGTGGTCCGCCTGCCTCGGCCTCCCAAAGTGCTGGAATTACAGGCATGAGCCACTGCGCCTGGCCTAAGTGCATAGTTTAAATTTTGTTGTAGCCTATTTCAAAACATTTATGAAACCATACTATATTATGTGATATATGTGCTGAATGTATAACTTGGGAAAAAACAATTAGAAAAGTCCTGTTATCACATTTTATTCCAGAAGGCATATATAAGACAGTCTGTTTGATGAGTTTCACCCTGTATGTGTTCCGGTTTCATACATTTTGTATTTCATATCAGAGGACTCAGTTTATCAGATACTTTCCTGGAATAATTCCTTTGAGTAGGGTCAAAAGCCTTAATTGGCCAGGCACAGTGGCCCATGCCTGTAATCCCAGCTACTCGGGAGGCTGAGGCCGGAGAATCGCTTGAACCTGGGAGGCAGAGGTTGTGGTGAGTGGAGATCGCACCATTGCACTCCAGCCTGGGCAACAAGAGCAAAACTACCCCCTGCCCACCCCCCCCAAAAAAAAAAACAGAAGCCTTAATTGAAGACATAGAAACTGGTCTTGATAAAAGAATCCTCAGACGTTATGTTTCAGCAACTCGTTCATCGTTCTTCCAATCTGTGATCCTTAATCACCTTTGGTCTTTAGCCCTAGCAGATAACACACAGTGCCGCTACTGAGCACAGTCGCTCTTGTGTGTGCTCTTTAATAGGAATTTGGAAGTCATGTTCTGCAGAATGTTTTAATTCCATACTGGGTGGATTGAGATTATTCCTGTTTGTGGATCACCCACATTGTCAATCTTCACTGATGACATAGATGATGATTCAACCACCATTTCAATTTGGAACAGCATATAGGGAACACTACTTATTTCAGATGTAGGATTATAATTTCTAATTTAATTTATAATTCTTGCTCTCTGGTCCCCATTCTTCTCAACAATTTTTTTGCTATAACTACCTGATGATGGCCTTAAACTGGAAACACACTCGATTTATTAAAAGGGAAGTTAGAACACAGCAAAAAATACCATTTTACATCCACAGAAGACATGATCAGTAACAAAGACATAGTACTCTGGATCTTTTATGAATCAAATAACATATAACTAAATACATAAAATTGTTAAGAACTCAGAAATTACTGTCTTAGCCTATGATAAATGAAGTATAGAAAAAGTATGTGGGAATATGAAGAATTTGAACATTTATTTAGAGCAGCATAGTTAATAAATACGTACAAGCTTTTACCCTGTTGATCATATGCCTTCCTGTCAAGCATCATGAAACATTTATAAAAATCCTAAAATCAGAAAACCATGATAAAAATCTCTATAAAATTTTAAAAACAGGCCTGGCATCGTGGCTCACACCTGTAATCCCAGCACTTTGGGAGGCTGAGGTAGGAGGATCACTTGAGCCCAGAAGTTTGAAACCAGTCTGGGCAACATAATGAGGCTCTGTCTCTATTTTATAAAAATTAAAATTTAAATTAAAAAACAATTTTTAAACATACATTGTGCTAACCATGATCTCTAATTACAATAAAATTAAACTAGAAATTAATTATATATTGAAATAAGAATGTATCCCAACGGAGACTTTTTAATGGGTTTTTAAGGTAGCAACTGAATTAAGGAGTTTAGAAAAATACAATGATAGCTTTCTCAGAAAATAATAAAAGCTATAATAATGTGTGTGTCTGTGGGTGGATACAAATAGCAAAACCTGTGGCAACCAAGTTATGCTAAGATGAAAATTCATATCTTTAAATGGTTTAATTGATCAAAGGGAAAATAAAATAACCAAGTATTAAAACTAGGATTTGGTAAAAAGTCCAGGACAATAAAAATTGAGGAAACGGGTTGTAAGAAATATAGAAGCAAAATTAAGTAAAAACAAAATAAGGGGAGAGGAAAGTGGCTACTAATAAAATATCAGATCACATCAAGGAAAAGAGGGAGGGAATTAAGTGGGGGAAGGAGGAAGACATTGTGATGACAGATAGAGAAGACCATTGTTTCCATTATTAAATAAACCACACAGCTATATGCTAAGAATTTGAAAACCCCTGTGAATTATTTTCTGCAACAATATACATGGCAAAGAAATATTGGCCTAAGAAGTAGAAAAAAGTGGAAAATCTGACCCAGAACAATAGGATGAAATTAAGGGAGTTCTCCAAAAATAACTGTTCTCACCTAAAAAGGCAAAAAGTTGCTAGGGGTGGGGTGGGTGAGGATACTGCTGACTAGATGAATTAATTAGAATCTTTTCCACTTAAACAAAAAAAGCAGCTCTCACACGATCTAAACTTTCCCACCATGTAGGAGGAAAAACAAAACTAGAAAACCTCTCCCATTTGTGCTCTGGCGTACACCGAATAACCCTAATACCAAACCTGATTTAAAATATCACGAACAATGATATCTCTGTTTAC